TCTTCCTCTTGTTGGCATTCACATGTAACTTTTTGTGTGACGTATAGGTAGCTGGTAGGGAATCATATAATGGTTTGGGTTGGAAGGGACCTTAAAGATCATCTAGTTTCAACCGCCTACCATGGGCAGGGATGCCTCCCACTGGACCAGGTTGCTCAAAGCCCCGTCAACCTGTTAGTTGTTAAATTCATGCTGGTAAACACAGAGCACAATATAGAAATAATCCACAGGGGAAAAAAGACATACAAGTCTCAGCATGCTTTGCTGCTCTGCATGCTGTTGCTTACACCAGTAACTTGCAAGATTTTGCCTGCCCAGTTTTTGGTTAGGGAATATGCCATTGGGATTATTGCTATCTGGATTAGTCAAGCTTTAATTAGTTTTATTTTTTAATGAAGAGTGAGCAGCCATCTGAATAGTATCTGTTTATTTATTTTTAGCTGCTACTGTCAAGTGATTGTTACTTTAGTAAACGTGTTATGGTTCAGGAATGCTCAGAGTAAAATCACTATGTTAAATAATTAGGTGAATTGCAGATGTGTTGCAAGAACAGGATGCAGGCATATTCTGACTTCACACAAAGTTTTTAGATGGAAAAACTGAGGTAAGAAAGGGTGCATGTGTTTGCCTCCAACTGCCTGTCATGTACCAGAATGGGTTACTAAGTACTGTCATCCATTGAAATGTATTGGAGATGAATCTTAGCATTTAAAACACTTTTATATATTTATTTTATTTCCTGAGCTCTTTTGTTTCCATTCTTCAATGAGGATAGCATGAGCTTGAACATGACAGTTGGATTGTTGGAGGGTGGTCTGTGAAGAGCTTCAAAAAGTTTATTTGTTTGGGTAAGATTTTCAGATGACTTTCAGAGAGATTTTTAATGTCTCTCTCCATGCACATGTGTGCTCTCTCCCTCTCTTTCAGGACTTGGCTTTCATACAACATATTTTAAGTGTCAGATTTTATTTTTTGCATCTCCTGAATCTGTAGTTTAACAGAGAAACATATCATATTGGAACTGCAGTCAAACTGTATCTTAACAGGTTTGAAATCAAAGCTTTGGATTTTTGCTGTCTGATTAAGAGCAGGTTAAGAAACACTTTCCTTATTGTGTGTGTGCTGGCTTGCAGATCTCTTTCAGGGAAAACCTGATAGACTCAAGTGCTTGAACTCTGGCAAAAATTCCATCTCTGTGCATTCAACAAGGAATAGTTTGTTTTTCACTGCTGATGTGGAGCACCTTAAACTATGAAGCAACTGACTGTGAGGCAATACGCCATTGTAGAAGCATTTTCCATGAAGGGTGTGTGCAAGTGAGGATGGAAATGCATGGGTGCTGAAGTGAAAATGTGAAAGCCAGTTGCAAAAATAGTGCTCTTCAGAGTGTGTCTGTTGCCATGCATTTGCTTCTGGTGGCATCCAATGTCCAGGCTTCTCTTGCGGGAGTCAGTGACTCCTTGAACTTAGGGATTGCTGTTGGATGCTCATTGAGCTACTCCTTTTGGAAAAACACACATGTGATTATTGGAAAAGTTTGATGGTCCACCAAGAAATCTGAGTGCTGTGAGAGGCTGTAACAAAATGTGCAGCATGTGTTAAATGTGTGCTTTGAATGCTTTCCATGAAGAGCAGCATCTGTGTTAAGTTTTCATAATGGTTAGGCTGTTAGATCAGGCAGACATAAATGCAGAAGTGTTATGGGGTAAGTTGTCAAGAGCTTACTATCTGGAAGTATCTATCAAAATGTTGTCAATACTGTTCTTATTTTCCAGTCACTGCAATAATGGAATACCCTATGTGATTCTGACTATAGATATTTTCAGACTGAAATTTAACCAGAAGTGATACACTACTGTGTGTGTACATATATGTATATATAGAATTATTATTTTTTTAAGTTTGAAGTACCTACTGATAACTCTGGTATTTAAGTCATTGATAAATTAAAGATGAGTATTACATTTGGAGATAAGATGGGTTTGTGATAGATTACAAATAAGAATTATGGGTAATCAGGGGCAAGGATGACCAGTGGTTCATAGAGTTGAATTTTCAGCATAATGGCCACATCTCAGGGAGGCTTTAAAGCATACCTTTGCGTGTGCTAAAGGTTTGGAATAAGGTCCTCTTCTACATATCACACCACTACCTTGAAAGTCAAGTACTGGATATAATATCTGGCTTTTGGGGATCCGTCTGTGGATTTACAGGTTGCAGAACACTGGGCTTTTTCCTTCCCCATCTCTCTACAGAGACATCAGCTTTTTACTTATTCCATATGTTTTTCTGCTTTCCTGAATATATGCCAGGGCTAACTCTATCCTTAATGCTTGCTCTGTGGTACTAGGAACTGGTTATTAGTCTGCCTGCTCCTAATCAATAATCTGTGAAACTGGAAGAGATGAGCTGTATGTTACTGGCTTAACTGGTTTTCTAAGCTAAATCTTGGGAGAGATAAAACGGAAACATCAGCCACTCTTTCTTCATACTTCTTACCTAGGCAAGGGTGGGGGAAAGGGAACACAAAGAGGTTTACTTCTGACTGGAAGATCCAAAACTCTGATCCTTTATGCTTGCGCAGTGTAAGTATTACTACTGTTATTAAATGAAAAAAAAAAGCATGTCAAGAACATCTCTGTATAAAAATTGTTTTCAACTGGAAATGGCAGATACTAGGAAGAGCAACTTTACACTGAGGGAATTCAGTGGTTGCTGCTCAAAAGTAGCAGGCTACTATGCCACTGTCCTGTTTTAGATAAACCTTCCATGTGCAGGGGTAGGAGAAACTACCTTCAGAGTAGCTGAGGCCTGGCTTTTGATGTAGCACTTTGACACCTTGGTGGCTTGGCTTTACTTGATCACAGCTGGGCAGGGAAGCTGTGTCAAGAAGGAAACTGAAAATGGTTCCTTCTTTGTTCCAGATGGAGACCCTAAACCCTGAGTTCTTCCTCTTTTGTTTCCATAAATTTCTTCCTTTTGTCTCAACTACTAACAGAGGGGGAGAGGTTTAGAGATCTTTTATCGTCTTTCAAAGAATTACAGTGTACCATAGTAAGATGGTAATGACTCTTGTGTGAAGCTATATATCAGTAAGTGAAGCTACAATTGGTATTTTCAATTTGGTACCCTGTGCAGCAATTGCAAATTAAATATTCCAGAGGAGTCCTGGTGCTCCAGTGGGAAGGGGCAGCTGTTAAAAATCTGCAGGAGAGAGCACAGGAAAAGCCTGTGTCCAACCAGAGTGGCAGGAGGAGTTTAGGTGGGCAGGGAGTCAGTCCTAAACCTGGAACTGCTCCAGGAAGCTTTAAAATCTAGGCTGCAGGCAGCTTTTTTTTTGGTCAGAATAGTATGTTGCTGCTCTGCACTTCAGACAGAAGTGAGGTTTGCATTTTCCCTCCTTTGTGCTACTGATGTTCAAGCAGACCCATTAAAGAGCAATTTGATTTAAAGCTGGAGTTTTTTAGTTATTCTTTTTCATTATTTAATCTCTAGAGAAAGGTTGCCATCCTGAAACTGGAACTATGGCCTCTACAAGCAGGTACATAGTTCCACGTTAACTACTTTTTTCAGTTTCTTAATGTGCTTTTCCTATGTTTTTTTGAGAACAATATTTTTGTGAAAATATCTGTCACTACATCAATGACCTGCCTTCCTCTGCAGATTTTTCAGGGAGATGATATAGAACATGTTCTTTTGTAGTAAATAATGAGAAATATTTTTGTTCCTCTAAACAACTGTGGGCAGGAAAACAATCAGGTGGAGAGGAACCTTTGTTGTTATCTAGAATTTAGTGGGTTTGGTTTAATCAATTACAGCCAGTGGAAAATTCTTCCGAGTGTCTTTGTGAAGGGTTTTGCCCTGAAATCTCTTAGTAGAGCTGTAAAGTATATAACTAAGAGAGGTTGTGCTGGTTTTAAATTTGCTTGTAAGTTGTATATACAATGGATCTAGGGTTTGCATGATACATGCTAAGCTGCACCTGTGTTCTGAAACCACTTTTGCTTCTTGTATGTTTTCCCACAATAAATTCACAGTCACAGAATGGCTGAGGTTGGAAGGGACCACAGGATGTTATCTGGTCCACACTCCCTGCTCAAGCAGACCCTCCTGGAGCTGCTTGCCCAGCAACTGCATATTTAGTTTCAGGGAAAAGAGGGAGAATACCCTGCTGTAACAAATAGAAAATACATGAGGGCTTTTCTTACCCTCCCACTTTGCACTAGGTGAGCAGGCTTGGGTGCAGGGGCAAGGCACTAGCCATGTCCTCATGTCAGTTTGCAGGCATAGCACAATAGAAATCAAGAATAGTGCTCTTGTCCAGATTAGTATTAACTGCATTTCTTTAATTTGAAAAACAAATGAGAAATGTAGCAGCTAACTGAGATAGAGTCATTCCATTTAAGACTGGGATGGAACTGAGAGCCAGAATGAAGGACAGCTCAGTTTTGCGTCTACATGAAAAATGCATCTGTCTTTGTGAGTTAAAGACTGATCAAGCTAAATGAGCAAATGTGTGAAAGAGTAAGCAATGTCTTGCTTAATCTTGCATTATCTTTTATGCTTAACTTCTGCCTAACTTTAAAATATTTATGTGAAAATTAAAATGTGCAGTCATCATTTGGTACTTGTCTAATATGGATTTCTACAGAGTGAGTCATTGTGGTGGGTTGGCCTTCGCCAACCACCCATCCAACTGCTCTTGCTTCCTGTCCTCAACAGAAGGGAGGGAAAATATGATGAAAAAAGTCATTGGCTGAGATAAAGATGGGGAGCTCATTCATCAGTTACAGTCAAAGGTAACACAGGCTTGAACTGCAGAAAATTAATGTATTGCCAATTAAATTAAAGTTGAATGATGAGAAACAAGGACAACTCGTAATACCTTCTCTTACTCCCCAACCTTTTTTCTTAGGTTCAAATTCATTCCTTCTGTTCCAACTCTTCTGCATCCTCCCTACATCTTTATGTATTTTTTTTTTCCCCTCTTCTCTTTTTAGGAGAGGCAAGAAACACAGTATAATTCTGAGGACCCAGCTGTCGGTGAGAGTTCATGCCTGCATTGGTAAGTGAAGTTCCACATGCCTGAAAGAGAGCAAATAAACAGAATAAATCTCTGGGAAGTAAATCTGAGGAGTATGAATCAGACTTGCTGTGTTCCAAGTTGAGGATAATGGCCAGTAAATTGATTTATTTGTTCTGTTTGTTGCGTGTTAAAATTAGGCGGTATTAGTTACATTACCCTTCGTAAAGTATGTTAAACAGCCGAGGGAAGCATAGCATTTGACAGTGGGGTGAGATGGCTGGATGTGCTTTGGAGAATCTTGGATTATCTGTCTTGTCAGAGCCTTTGTGTGTGCCTGAAGACTGTTCTGAATTGGGAAGCAGTTCTGAAAAATTGTTGGCTGACAGCTAACTTGTGCATTTTAATAGCATGTAATGTTCATTGCTTCACATCTTGCAGATCTTGGCCACATATTTGTCATTATCACAGTGTCAGTGTCTTAAAACCCCTGGTTAAAACAATGCTGTCACGAGGAGAAGTCTAATGAAAGTCATAATGTGTGTGTCACAAGAACTTTAAGGCTGCATAAACAGAGGCTGATGCACTGTGATGATGTTAATATGTTTTCCAGCATTCTGCAGAGCAGAACGTTTCACTGACTGTTAGTGGCAAAGGTAACGCTCAAGTTCTGGTGATATTATGATAGGCGCTATGAGTGGCTGGTTTAAAAAAAATTAAAAGAAAATCCCATATGTATGTGCCACAGTTGCCTGTTTTGTTTTCAACTTCTTCATACTAGATTCCACACCCTAATATGTTTAGCTTATTGCTGCTTCAGGAGATCACAGCTGAAGCATTGAAACATAGGTATTTTCCTTAAAAGGAGGGGGAGAAAGTCAGAGTTCTGTATTATCTCTACAGTGCTACTGCTGTTGGAAGATTCAGGCTTTAAATACAACTAAACTTCTATCCTCTGCCCCCAGGACATGTTATGAAATGGCCTTTCTTGGGAATTTGAACTGAGCATAATCAACCTACAGAATTCCTCAAATACCTCCCATTGAGAGCGATCTCTAGGCTGCCTCATTCAGGAATATATTCTCCTCTACTACCATTAACTTGAGGAAGAACAGTAGAACGAGCCTTTGTGTTAAGTATTAGAGTAGAAACAGAGATACTTCAAAGTCTCATGAAATTGAGAACAGTTTGAAGAAGCTTGTTCTTGTTAGGTCTGGGAGTATACTTGGCAAAATAGGCCAGGCAAGCAAGGCAAGTTTTCACATTTTCTGGACTGAAGTCTTATAAAAACAATTCTCATGTAAATATTTTTGTCCAGAGTGCAGCCATCGAGGAATTGGAACACACCAGGTTCTGAGCTTCCATCTGTGGTTGCTTTCTTGTTACCTGTTTGCATTCAATCTCACTGTGGGCAATTAGGCATATTGCTGTGCATGTATTTTAACTGTTCCTGTTTGAAAGTGTCATCCTTTGTCAGGTGCTGTTACACCCTGGCAGCAGTGATGCATTCATCAGTGAGTATAGAGGAAGCCAGGCTGCAAGTCCAGATTTCAAACTCCTCAAGCAGAGGTGTGTTTGGATATGGGCTTTTGGCTTTGTTCGTTGTAGGCAGAAAAGCCAAATGCAAAATCTGGTTCTGATTTCCAACCCCCCTGCTGACATTTAGTTTTTTAGGGTAAGCTTTTGTTTCAGCCCATAGCTTGATGTAATGTACTTTCTTCTCCTTTTTCATTTTTACATATCAAATACACATTTTGTATGGGATAGTTTGAAAGGGTCAGGACCGCTCTGTGGTTGTCAGTACTGGCCTTGCTTGATGACCTGTGCCTGGCAGTTTAACTTGTCATGGGGTAAAAGGGCTGTTACCCATTGGCACAGTGGGTACTTTTCTTCCTTTTGTGTGTACTTTCACATCGTCTGCCTGTTAACGTCTTTTTGGAAATAAAAACATTAGGTTTAGAGGTTAAAATATGTGCTGCACATTTGGAATAGAAGTCAGGAGTTAGAGCAATCTGAGAGTGTGTCACATGGAATGAAACCATCTTACTTTGACTTGGAGAGCACTGTGGTTAGCAATGTTACTGAATTTGCGAAGTCCCCAGTAGGTAGCCTAGTACTGCTTTCTGAGAAGATGTGGTTTGTTCTGAAGTACCCTTGCCACAGAGCTTTCTGTCGTCCTTTCATTCAAGGTTTTACTTTGCTCTGAACAGCTGAAAGGTGTCAAGAAATAGCTTTACTGTCATAAAATAGACTTTCCCGTTTGGAAGGTAGACCAATTTATGTATATATTTTTATTTCTTCCTCACATGTTGTACTTTTAAATTGTGGAAAATACACAAGTGTTTATGTTCAGATGTCCAGATTAAGTTTTCCATCTTTAGTGACTTCAGATCTCTGGGGAGTCCATTGGGCTTTAGTGTCAGAGAATGACTACAGGCCAATATTTTGAGACTTGGGAAGCTCTAACAAGTCCCATGCCAAGTGGGATGGTGTGGGGTTTTTGTGTTTTGTTTTAGGCAAGGCAAGGAAGGAATACAGCTTAATAACTTGAATGTGGAAGTTAGAGCATTGTTTTCTGCCCTATTGCATGCTAGTCACTCTTAAACATCTCAATTTAACAAATTACTACGTTCTTTTTTTCCCCTTCTCAGTCTGAGTTCTTGTCTTATGTTCACATTAAGGACTTTCAGCATCGAGGAATAAATTTTCTCCTAAATATCATCTCGTAAAAATATGTATATATATATCTATTTATATATCTATATAAGTATATCCTAAATACTTTCCCAATTTTTGGCTTGATCCTGACTAAAATGTTCGGATTAATTAAGACGTAATTTAAAAAAATAAAATGTCTTTCGACTGCAAACTGCAATATCTTCAGTTTTTTAATAGCAAAAGACTAGTGCTGACACCAGTTTTTTTCAGAGACATAACTAATTGTAAATTACTGATGTACTTTTTGAACTTATTGATGTTAAAAGACCTTAGTGGGGCAAGATCAATCCTTAAATCACATAGATTGACACTAAATTCTTGTGTTGGTTTTGTTTGTTTTTCTTTTTGTTTTGTTTTGTTTTGTTTTTTAATCTCAAGCTGTGTAATTTGACCTTTTATTCAAATTAGATTTATTGTGAGTTGACACCCTGTGGGAAAAGTCTGGTATTTTTGGCAACCTTATGGCTTTCCTTGTTTGTATTTAGTTACGTCTTAACATAATTTTAATTTGTATGCATTGAACGATTACAGGGCATAGCTAAAGCCTTGATAAGTGGCCTGTGTAAATGGGCATGTAGCTTTACAGGATGAACACTAACAGTGCGAGAAACTTTAGCCCTGAAACTAAATGGAAGGTTTCAGAGCAACTTGGTTATAGTGAAGTTTTAAAGCTTTTTAAAAGCTCTACTGTTCCCAGACAGTGACTTGGTTTATTCATGATGCCCTTGCTTAGACAGCTATGTCTGTGGCTGCTTCCTCATTTGTCCATTTGTTGCTTCTTAGTAGTTCTCCCTCCAAATCTGATGTGGTCTCAGAGAGAAATGGCACCATTTACTCTTATGGATCTGGATGCACTACCTAGCCCAACAAGAGTTCCATGTTCTCTTTTAAACTGCATGCCCTGTGTGATGGGGATTTAGGAGTTTTGCTTTCAGTAGTGAGGATGGGTTTTGGACAGGGACCCATGACAATGACTTAAAATAAATCTGCCAAAATAAGTTTGACATAACCTTCATGTGTTAATACAATGTAATACAAGAAGAATGCAAATAACAAAGGTTGATGTAATTCTGACTACATGTGTTGGCCTGGGATTGCTCAGAGTACTGTAGCTTGGAAGGTCAGCAAATGTTGCAAGGTGTTTTTAAATTTTACTTCTCCATTGTGTCAGTTTATTATTTAAAAACCAAACAAACCAAAAACAAAACTCTCAATTGGTTATTTAAAATGTTTTCCATTAGAAAATTACGTTTTGTATGGTTATAGCTCCCTCCTGTATTTATGCGATGTCTTTCTTTTATCTGTCTACATATTAAAAATAATTCACATAGATATTTGTGTGTATTACATTTCATAGCTTGATCCAGTGAGAACCCTAAAGAGCGTGCAAGTATATTATTGCAAGTCTTGCTGAACATAGAACATAGCTTCATTATTAGTCTTTATAACTACTTTACAATCCTGTTGCATTGGCATTTTCACATGGGCAGTTGTAGATCTACCACCGCACGGTGCTTAAGTGAGCCACAGTATGCCCACTCTGCCCCATCCTTCTGCGGGTGACCTCCAGTGGATTATTCCCAAGTATGTGACACAATAGCTGCCATGCTGCATGATGGCTTTTTCTAGTCCATGTTGTTAAGGCATCTGCTTTAACCTACAGTGTTAGTAGCAATAGCCCAGTCTTTCCACATAGCTTTTTGGATTGTCTTTTTTGACATCCTCTCATTCTTAAGATATCTTCTATGGAATGTAGCCATAAATACCTTTTTGAGCCCCTTTTGTTGTGGGGTACCTGAGTGAAGCTGTAAGCTAGTTGTAACTAGGAGGCTAGTTAGAAGCCATCTGTTTTGATTTGTTCTGTAATGACGGAAGTATGCACAAAGTTCTCTTTTCCATCTAGTTTTCCCTTCTGTTATCCATTATGCAGACTTGTTGCATGTATTACAGCAGATATGATTAAGTTCTCTAAATATTTATGCATCTATTGAACATGCTGGAAGGACCTGTCCTTCCAGGTGCTTGAGATGCAAGATCCTTCTCACATTGCTTTCACGAAGACAAAGTTGTGTCTTGAGTCTGTAACTGTATCTGGCGTTTTGTTGCAGAGAAGACACATGGATTGAACTGGGGAAGAAATGTGGTTTGTTCTCTTATGAGAATAGTATTAAGTGTAGAAAAGCCAGTGCAATTCTCGTTGAGGAAATGTGAGTGTTGTGTGTCATTCTCTGAAGTCAGAGTGAAGCTTGTGCCTACCATCCATGTTACTAGTACTGTCTCACTTGAGATGCTTCTCCCTGTAAATATCATTATTGTATTGCATC